CATTACTGCTGCTTATGCTGCAGGTGCCTTCTTGTTGCAAGCTAGAGGGCCCGGATGTGCAGTCTAGCTGCAGCTGTTTCTGCTGCTGGTTTTCTTATGCCTTGCTCTGCTAGTCAGGACTCCTCCAACGGGGTCGTGCGCACAGTCTTTATACGCACCGTTTTTTGTGTTCCTTCATTTTTTTGTTCATTTGTTTGTTTGTTTGTTTGTTTGTTTGTATACAGTTAAGAAAAAGCAGGAGGAGGAGGTGGCTGGCTATACCCCTGAAGAGCTCGAGGAAACGGACCTATGTACGTAGACAGACACCGTTCGGTGCATTTCTGTCCCTATTTTGGCTTTGTTTTATTTCGTTTTTGCTTTTCCTCGTGCCGTTTGTGTGTGAGTACCGAACGGGTGTTAGTACCAGCGGAATTTGAGTGTGATTATTCTTCGGCGTCGATAGGATGTGTTTATGTGGCCCAGTGCATGAAGGGTATCTTTCTTCCTTATTATCCCCTCTTCTTTGTATTAAGCAATGTACCAACTTCACGCCGCCATGCGTATTAGCGAAGCTCTGCTTCGTTTGTGATGCACCAACTGCTTCGTGTTCTTTTGCATATTGCATTTGTGTGGTGCTTTCTTTTGCATTTCTTTCTCTCTGCATGCATGCGTGTTTTTCCAGGGCGGCAGGAGTACCAGAAGTTTATTGATGCGGAGAAGCATAAAGAATGGTGGGAACGGTTGAGCGTTGTGGGGGGCGTTGGAGGCGCTGCGGCTGCGGGCCTGGCTTTGTTTGGCAAGGCCCACGAGAACGCAGGAGGGGTAGCAGAGAACCCAGCTGCAGCGCGGCTGGTGCGCGGCGCAGGCAGCGTTGTGGGGGGCGTTGGAGGCGCTGCGGCTGCGGGCCTGGCTTTGTTTGGCAAGGCCCACGAGAACGCAGGAGGGGTAGCAGAGAACCCAGCTGCAGCGCGGCTGGTGCGCGGCGCAGGCACTGCAGCTTTATTGGGGGGAGCAGCTGCGCTTCTTGGGTGGTTGATGAGACGTAGGAGCAAAAAAAGGCAAAAACTCGCCGACGCGAGACTGGCACGCATGCATTTTGAAGCGGTAACGGGGATAAAGCCCTCTGATGAGAACGTCTTGGGGCCAGATGAAAGAGATGTTTTAGCCCCGAAGAAACACAAAAAGAAAAAGAAAGATGACGATGACTGAAGCAAGTCGAACAAACCAACCAACGAACCACGAAACACCGCCAGCCGCACATATGCCGTGAAACAGCGCTGCAGCGGCAGCAAGGGCAGCTGCAGCTGCTGCTGTCGCAGTAGCACCAACAGGCAAAGGGTTTAAGGTGTTCGGTTGAGGCTGCCCATGGGAGCAGAGGGAGACAGAAGCGGCGGGTTGTTTTGTGTTCCTGGTACTGCTGCTGCTGGACGATTTCGTTTGCTGAATTGCCACAATGGAAGTGGAGGGTTTGCAGTGTGTGAGGTTGTTCTTGTGGAAACGTTTGTCTGTACATTTATTTAAACAAACGAGTGCACGAAGATAAAAGGGGCATCGCCACAAGTAGCAACGACTGGACGTCTTTGCTCCGCTGAGTCGCGACGCTCAACAGGTTCAGTTCAGCAATAGAGTCAGAGGTGTTTTTAATCATGCGAAGGCACTGAAAAAGAAAAGGAAGGAACAGCTTTGCCTTCGTCACGCGTTCGTGCATGCATGCAAGTTTGCATGCACATACCCCCGAAGCTTTGGGGTGGGTGGTGGTTTGGGTGGCGTGGGTGGTGTATCTAGGCACCCTTAACAGAACTGCTTTGGCTTTTTAAGAATTATTGAGAGTTTCTTCCTTTGTTTGAAACAAGAGCATAGACTCAGAGAAGTAGTCATCGTCTTCTCTTTACCCCCTAGCCAAACCCCTCTGACGAAGCAGACGAAACAGAACCTTCGGAGGGCATGCACACACTGCTGCAGCCCGATAAACAGCAGATGCTTGTAAGTGCATGCAGAGGCAGAAAAAGAAATGGACAGCGAGGTGTTAGTACGAAGAGGTAAACAAGAGGACAGAGAACAGAGCATGCGGCTAAACCATCAAGCCGCGTTGTTTCGGTTCTTGTCGCTCGCGCCGTAGTGAGACGTACAGTAACAGCGAGTTTAGTTTATCAGCCTGCCCAATCCGCTTCTATGTACACAGAGTGCTATACTGTGGCACATGTTTAATTTTATTGTTTAGTTCAGTCTAAGGTGTTCGTCAGAAATCATTTTGCATCAGCGCCCTCCGTGTCGGCCCCTTGCAGCATGACTAGCTGGCTAACAAAAAGTGACTAGCTAACTAGTCAACGGTGGCTAAGTGCAGCTATCGAGCTGCAGATAACCATCTGCGATACTTGGACATGTCGTAGGCATGGAGTATAGATGCACTCCGCATGCATTGGGGCACCCCACAACTATAGTGTCACAGAGACGTAATGCCAGTAGCAACCCTAAACGCCTTCTGCGATGTTGCCGTCAGGCGCCTAACAAGGTGGAACAGGAGGAGAGCAGAAGCGAAAGTAAACTGACACAGGAAAAGCGATAGAAAAAGCAGAAGAAACAGATGCAAAAGAGACGCAACAGGCTGGGGTGTCCGCGTAGTGCCCTATGACTACCGTGCGGCTGCATGTAGAGTCTGTATGCGTTAAGCGTTCCAAATAATCAACAGCAAAAGACATGAAGCGCTATAAAGACAAATACATGTAAGTGTTTATTTATATACTAGACAAATTGATGTGAACAGACAAACAAAACTAACGACCAGGCGGCAGGCTGGCGTGTTTGTTTATATGTTAAGGCGATGCAGTGAATGCGTAAGTTACGAATGTATGGCTTTTATAATCAATTAATAATCTATTTGTGTTCAATAAAGAAACATATTAAAACTTAAATTTTGTCTTGAGGTGTATGTACATGCTCGCTGCGGCAAGGGTTG